ACTCAATGGCACATAACAGCAGTAACAACACAGATCACAGATCACAGCACAGACTCGATGGCACATAACAGCAATAGCAGCACAGATCACAGATCCCAGCTTAATCTTTGTCTTATAACGAGGATGATGGGGAGGAGCATGAAGGCCTCCTCGATGGGCAGGGAGAGTGAAGAACCTTGGTCTAATCAGGTATTTAATCAGGAGGTGGAGCTTCCCTGAGCACTGGTGCCTCGGCTGAGTTCAGATCCTTGTTTGCATCGCCTGTTCAGGCCTCAACAGCCTTTCCTGTCAGTGCTGGCCCGCGGTGCGAGGGCCACAGTCCAGCTCCCTGTGCCTTAGGGTATGGGGTTAACGGCACCACTGGTCAGTTGGGCTCCTGCACATGGGGTTCCGTCCCCTGACACTGGCTTCCTCAGGTCTTGTTCCCCACCCCACGAGGCTGCACAGGCCTGACCTGGGTGCTCTTTCTCACTCTCCTTTTGATCTGATTTTTTGTTATTGATACTGATCAGTACAACAAAACCTATACCAATTTAGCGATTGCCGTATATACAGTTTAGAGAGCTCTGATGGCCTAGAGGTAAGAAGCTGTGCTGCCATCCGAAGGCAGGTGATTAGAATCCACCAGCTGCTCCTCTGGAGAAGGAGGGACAGTCTCCTCCTGTGCAATTAGTTGCTTCTGAAAACCCTCCGGAGGGTCAGAAATGTATCAGGTCAGACTAGATGATACACAACAACAACAACAACAATTGGTGGCTTAATGTAAGGAATTGTGCTGCCAAGTCACAGGTTCATGGATCGAATCCACCAGCTGCTCCATGGATGAAAGATGGCAGTAACCTCCTGTGTGATTTGCTGCCTTTGAAAACCTGCTCGACGGTCAGTTATGATTCAGTTCTGACTTGACCATACAGAACAACAACATCATAGGCACAGTTTAGTGACACTGATTTCAGTCTTCAAATTGTGCGCTCATTCGGGCCCTCATTTGCCAAATTGTTCCTCTTCTGTGAACATGAACCCATGTCCCTTATGCAGGCTTCTCATGTAATATTTCTTGTTTCTCTTGTCAATCTGATTCCATGTAGAAATTCTTCTATGAGCACACAATGCTCATGACAGACATTCTTCACTCACTACAAGAAACAAGTGTTTGATTTAAATGATACTTCAGGGGATACTTTTGACTTAAAAATTTTCTTTTTTTATTTTAGCGCAGGTTCATAAAGAGATGTATTTTCATTCATTCATTCATTCATGTAGACTAAAGATAATTTTAGGGTAATATTTTGGGAGGTTCATTCAGCACCAGTGACTCTAGAGAGTCTAGATTTCGTGAGAACTTGAAATTCTGATTCACCTTCCCTCTCCTTTTGATCAGTGCTCTTATATAGAATCTTTGATTAAAAAGTTTATTGATAGCATTGGCCTAAATTTTAAGTGACTTGGATTCTGAATTAGATCCCCTAATGAACACATTATGAACTGCCAAGTTGGCTGTGATGTATGATGATTTCAGTCACAATGAAGGAAGAAACCCAGACACTATCCCATCCTACACCGTCCCCGTGGTCAGAGGTCATCTGTGCTGCTGCGACTCACAAGGGTTTTGGAAGGAAACAGATAAGCATGAATATTTTCCTAGTTTGTCTTATCCTGAAAGCTCTGTTAAAACTTGGTAAGTATAATAGCAGCATGCAAGCCTTCAGTAACAGGTGGAATGTGTGTTTTAGTACAAAGGCCAGGAATGGGCCCAGACCCTGCATGGAAGGCAAGAATTCTAGCACTGACTCACAGAGACCCCTAGGGACCTATTGGTACTTGTGGTGTTCTCTTAGACTCTGTACTTTCTAAAGTGAAAACAGGATATAGAAATGGAAAAATAGTATAGTAAAAACCTCATCGTAATCTACCAAAAAATGAGGGAAAGAAGGGTAATAAAATGACCATTATATACAATAAAGCAAATGTAAGGCAATAGCTGTTCTTGATTGTAAACACACATAGACACACACATATGTGTGTATGTATAGTGATAATGAATTGTACTGCTGGCACGAAGGTATGCAGTTTGAATCCACCAACTGCTACAAGGAAGAAGGATGGGCATTCCGCTCTTGTATGATTTACTGCCTCTGAAAACTCGCTGGAGGGTCAGTAGTAACGTGCTGGTACACAACAACAACATATTTTAAGTTGTAGGACAGAATAAATGTAGTGACAGTAGTTGGGAAGGAGCTGTGTATGACAGTGTATCTGACACTCCACTTTCACCTTTCTTTTCTGGCTCCTGAAATCTTAGTGTAGTTGCAGTGTTCCAGCTCACTTTGTAATTGCTGGTTTCCTCTGTTGTGGGTGTTTTGTTTGTTTTTTTGTTTTTTGTTTTGTTTTTGTTTTTAAAGAAGACTTTAAGGTGATGCCTTCATAGCATACTTGTAAGTGGACAGTGAGAAGAAATTAGGCCAGAAAGCTGAGTTTGTTTTGAGTCAGAGGAATTTTAGAGAGAGCACCACCACCCACCTCACTTACAAGAGTGACTTTGGAATAAGACATTCCTGGGTTCAACACTGTCTCTGTCCCCTTTTAGCTGCATGGCGTAGGATAGATTACTTAGTATTTTGAGCCTCAGTATTTTAATGTGCAAAGTGGGACTGAAAATACCCACCACACAGGACATCTGAAAGGGCTGAGCGAGGTGATTTATGGCATGCTTTCAGCACCCAGGATGCAATAAGCATGGAATAAATGGTGACTAGTATTAACTAGACTGGGGTAACATTAAGGTTATTGATGGAGAGTAGGGTAGCATTTATCACTGGTTCTACTGCTTGATACACTGCATACTTATCAAGTGCCAGTTGTGCTGCAAGCACTGAGGATACAAAACGAAATAAAAGAAGCTCTACAGTAATAACCCTTAACTGAGAGAAGCATATGAAGATAGAGGATGATGTCCTATCTGAGAATAAGGACTGTGTCTGTCTTTACTGCATATCCATAGGTCCTTCCCTCAGTCTCAAGGCATGAAGACGTTACACCATGACTGTCAATTCAGTGTCACTGAACTGGACCACGGCAT